TTTAAACTCAAATAAGCGAAATGAACGAGGCCAATTATTCTATCTTTTGCGAAGAGAGTAAACTATTGATTTCTCCCAAAAACTCTGCTCCTTGCAGCTGGCTTTCTTAAAATCTCGCCGCAAATAACTCATACAACTGAATATCAGATATGTAAGTTGCAAAAAAAAAAAAAAAAAAAAGTTAGGAATTTGAATACATGACCAAGAGAGTAATTTTGACATTTTCAAGAATTTGGCCGAGTTGGTTGGTTAAAGGGGATACAATTTGACATTAATTTGCAACATATAATGTATCCTACTTTTGAGTTTTTTTTTTTTCAAAAACATTGGGTGAAAGTGTTATTCAGCTAATTAAACGACCTTATTATTGACGCATTTAAAAAGAATTCAAAAAATGTCAATGTTCTATAGTCGGAAGAAAATAAATATGCTCAATTTAAATTGAGGCCAGCTTCTAGTCACTATGGCATTGGCACCTCTTTAATTTGTACAGTTGGAAAGTCACTCTTTTATAGGTGCCTGTCAATCCTTCACTTTTATTTTCTCTTCGGCTGCTTCTCTTTTTCCTTTAATTGTTAACGGCTATATTACTCACAAAATTGAAAAAAGAATTCCAGCAACAGACACAAATAGGTTTATTATTTGAATTTGGGTGGCTAAACCTTGAATTTAGTATTGGATTAGACGTTTTTGCCTTATTTATATCCATTTACTTTATATTTAGAGCAGAAAAGGTGAAAATTTTTGAAATTGTGATGGTTAAAAGACTTTCTAAACTATTGCAGGGTCTTTTGGTTGAGTAAGAATCTATCTTTTGTGAAAAATGGTATGAGTAAAAGTAGGTTTATTTTGGAATGAAAAATAATCCGCATGCTTTACAGCATATTTAAAACCATAGGCATTTATCACTCTTGTGAATTACTAGTCTATATCATCATAAATGACCACCTAAAAAAAGAAAAGAAAATATCAAAAGAAAAGAAGATAGGATATAAACATGACCAGTCGACACCATTCAAACATTATCACTTATCTCCATCTCTAGTTTACCTTCATTGCTCATGTACAATAATTTGATTAACTCAAACAATTAAGGTAAAAAGTCAAAATAATTGGATGAACTTGATAAGATTGTAGATCCTTGTTTTTTTTTTTTTAATACAATACGGAATTAAACCCACGCCTTCACTGAAATCTTCCGGCATCACTAGACCAAGCGGTTTTAAATAGATCCTTGATCATTTAACATACAAATTAAGCATCGTTCATTTCGTGGATTCGAGTTTTCAATTCGAGCTGAGATGTGACATTTTCTGAGAGCTTTTTACTGTAAAAAAAAAGTTAGATGTGACATTTTTTGAGAGCTTTTTACTGTAAAAACTTAAAACTGAAAACTCGAATCGGTGAAATGAACGAGACCTAAATATGTAACCTCCAAATTAAGTTTTCCCAATCTAGGAGTCCTCCCTAGTCCCCTCATATGCTTCTTGAGATTATTATTTGTCGTATGCTGTATGGATTTTTCAAATGCAATAATAAGGTAAATTGCCCTCAGTTTGGCCAGCTAATAACTGGCCACAACCTTTCAGAGGTCCTACTTAGATGTTGCCGTTTTAACTAATGTGGTCGTATTTTAGCATTATTGTCGTTTAATGATATTGTCGTAAAATTTAATGTTGTTTTCACTTCTAAAACTATCTTCGTTTTGAAATCTTGATCTTATCGTTTCCTTAATATGTTTTCGCTCATATATTGTTGTTCTTGTAGCGTTCTTTACTACTGTTGTCGTTTTCTTTATATCTTGTGGTTTTACATGATAATGCCGTTTCTATGCGATATCATAACGCGAACTTTTGTTGTTTCAAAACGTTGTCGTTTATAATTATTGTTGTTTTATTGATTTGTTGTCGTTGTAGACTCAAGACGAATTCCACTCCAGGTGTTCTGGATCTTCAAGAGGGTGTCACGTTCCAACGATTCTGTAATTACTAGAACTCTTGTCATTTACTAATTTATGGTCGTTTTCTGGATATGATGGTTTAGGATACTGTCGTTTCTCATGATATTGCCGTTTTTCACCTTGTTGTCGTTTCCAAGATGTTGTGTTTGGTGCTTTCCGTGACGTCTTTGCCAAAGCTGGAATAAATTCGTCAAGACAGATTTTTTTTCAGAATTCAATTTGTTCTCGTTTTACTTTTCTATCAGCTAATGTTCAGTAGATAGCCCATCTGGTTATATATATTTATGAATTATCAATAATCAAATTCATACCAAATAATTTTTATTTTTTAGTACTAAATTTTTTAAGGAAAAAAAAAAAAAAACACACAACATTTGTTGTAATTCCTGGAAGGCTCTTCAATCTTCAATTTCACAAAAAAAAAAAAAAAAGAAAAAAAGAAAAAAAAAAGATTCATCCATGGACCAAAGAGAGTGTACTTTTCGTAGGAATATTGGGATTATGAGACTTAACATGAAAACGAAAGTTGTGTTTGTATGGAGACAAAATTCTTATATTTAAGAAGCGCGGTTTGGAATTTCAAAGCAAGTTCATGAAGACATATCAGCTTTGCGTCTCAGAGCAATGTTCCCTCAGAGAAAAACGACGAGTCTTCTATAGATTAAGCGACGCAAACGGATACTGATCGTTTGGCCAAAAGCGAAGTGACAAAGATATTGGCCTTGGACCACATAACTGACATAAAGCATCAATAATCTTGGGATTTTTTTTCCCATGCCGTTTTTCTTATGTTGTCTTTTCTTTTAACATGCTAGTGTCATTTTCTAGAGTGTTCTCGTTTAATAAATTTCTGTCGTTCATTCATTTAAAAAAAAAATGTCATTTACTCGTGTTTTTTTGCAGTTCTTATAAGATTTCCCGAAAATGTTGTCGGTTTTTCTATGATTTTGTCGCTTTTAGAATTCTTCCCTTTCAAACATAGTATTTACCAAATTATTGTGTTTTGAAAAATTGACGTCTACCCTCAAGAAAGGGGGGAAAAAAATGATGTCGTTTTCCTTTGATGTTGTCACTTTGTGTCTGTATTGTCTTTTTTTATTATGTTGCGCCATTTACCATGTTATGAACTAGATTCTGATCAGGAAGTACTATTTTATCTACCCAAAACTGGAATGACTTTTGGAAATAGTAAAATCCCGTTTGTGCAGTCTATTTCTGAACCAAAAAGACAAATTTCAAGTAGTGCTACTCAGTATTCGAATTTCCAATAGCCTTATTATATTGGCAATAAACGCACGACCACTAAATACTAATAGTGTTATAACCCACGTGATTTTTTTTTTTTTTTGAGCGAGTTTATCATTTTTCTTTCTTTTTTTTGTTTTTGGTTCCTTTGATGTGACTATAAATAGTCTAGCTGAACTGAGTACATCAGAGAAGAAAGTTGCCTTTGCTTGTTTTTTTATCAGTCACAAAGAAAACTTGTTACCAGAAAGTGTACATATATAGTAGAAGACAAGTTTTATCCTTTTCCTATCAAGTATGCTGGCAATATTGCGAGATAATCTAGAGATTCCTATAAAACGAAAGGTCGTTCAAAAAGTCCTTATCTTATAAACAAGAACTATCCCCAAGAATAATGTAGAGAAGAGAAATACTAACATCACTATTTTTATCAGTCTCTTTTCACTCTGTTTTGACACGTAAATTCTACTATTTCATTTTATGTTTAAATAATAATATATTAGGAAAGTGGAGTCCACGTATCAAAAAATACATACAGAAAGTGATAAAAATAACGATCCTGGCATTTCTCAAGAAGAAATATAACTCAATGAGTTTCGCTTTCTCCTAAGACTTCTCATGTTATAATGAGGTATCAGAGTTTGCTTGTGGTTTGTAAGCCTCTGCCGCATTTTTGTGATGTTAATCTTACTTTACCAGTTATCTTGCGATTTTTTTTTTTTACTCCCGCGGGTTTTCTTAGATGCCCTAATATGCTAAGGTATACTCTTATTTATTTTTTGTTTTTTTTCTTCTTTTTTAAAATAAAACGATATTGCAGCTTCTTAGCCTGGTTTAAATTCATTTCGATGCCGTTTTGAAGATGGTGGTTGTTTAAAATGTTACTGTCTTTTCTTAATTTTTTATGGCATTTTTAGGTTTTTTTTTTCTTTTTTTTAAACAATGGTTTTGTTTGTTATTGTTTTAAGACATTGTTTATATATGCTTTGTCGCTTTTAAGATGTTGTAATTTATTAAGTTATTGTCGTTTTCATAAGATCTTGCTCTTGTTTTTTTGTTTTTTTTTAAACAAAGTTGTCGTTTGCTTCAACGTTTACCTCACATAATTTGTGAATCGAGCGAAAACAAGGGAAGATTCATCGTTGGAGATGGGACCACTTCAAAGAAAGTACTTTTTTTTTTTGGTTGCAGGAATGACATTCCGAGACTACTAACTACGTGTAAATGAAAGATATGTATTTACGCTGATTAAGCAGCGCGGTTTGGCATTTCAAAGTGAGTTCACGAAATAGGAGCTTTGCGCCTCAAAACAATTAAGAGAGAGTATTGTCGTTTTCATTTTGTTGTCGTTTACTGATGACTTTTTGTAGTTTCTTAATATATTGTCGTTTTTCTATGATATTGTCATTTTACTATGATGAAGTTCACCTTTAGAACTCTTGTCGTGATGTCATTTCATTTGTTAAATTATTGTTGGTTTACTGGGTGGTGTCGTTTAAAGTTGTTTCATTAAGCGAAGTTAGAATCCAGATGTTCTTTTCAACGGTGTCGTTTAGAAATATTGTTGTTTATTTATTTATTGTCGTTTTCTTAAAATGTTTCGTTTGATGCTCTCCTTTAAGTGTTTTGTTGATCGCTTGAAACAAATTCATCAAAAAAAACTCCAATCCTATATAACTAGCGAACATAAATTTTTACAGGAAAACGAAAAATTTTCTAGACGACACTCGTTGTTTCTTATGATAAATTTGTTTATTCATAATCCGTGTATAAAGATAAGAGACTTTGAAACAACAAAACATGAGCTTTATTTCTTCTTTTTAATTATTACAACCATAATGAACAAAACAACTCTTCCATCATCATTTCATCAAAAAACCAAAGTACATACTCGATAAATACACACAATAACCTCCAAATAACTCACAACATGAAATTGATTTTATCAATGCACAAGCTAAAAAGCTATATTTTCTTCTGAACACTGACCAAATCCAAAGTAGAACCATAAGCTCTGTTCAAGGCTTCGGCACACCAGCCATGACCATCATCAACTGTAGGCATCCTCACTTCCATGAAAGGCATTGCCGGTTGATAAGAACCCAACTGAACAACACCCGCAAAAACCCTCAGCACGTTTGAGGCGTCTACGTCCATGCACACGCTGATCTCTGGCGCTCCTTTTGGCGCAGGCGGGATCCCAACTATCTTGAAATACCCCAGCAAGTGATTCTCCTCCACCTTCTGCCCCTCGCCCTCGTAGACCACTATCAGCGCCTCCGTCTGGTTGTCATGAGCAGTTGTGAATGTCATCTCCTTCCTTGCTGGCATTGTGGTGTTCCTCGGTATTATGGGAATGAAGTTGCCCCCATCAGCACGGATTCCTATGGCGAGAGTTGCTATTTGAATGGTCAGCAAGTCTAGATTCCCAAAGGGGTCACTAATACCAGAGGCCACTGCTCCTTCAAGTGCAGCCCCACAAACTGCAGCTTCCAACGGGTTCATGCCTTTGTAAAGCTCTTTTCTCTTGCAGGCACTCGTGACGAGATCTTTCACCTTCGGAATGTATGAACACCCGCCTACAACTATGACATCATTCACATCTTCAATTTCTACCTTGGCATCATGGAGGCACTGGGTAACTAGAGTCTCACATTTCTCAAACACCTTTCTGTTCACTTCCTCAAACTCCTGTCTGTGCAAGACCTTATTTATTTTCGAGCCATTTCCCAAGTCCAGATTGATTGGGACACTGGTCTGCGTCGAGAGCTTGTGGATAGCATCCTGAGTCGCGACACGGAGCAAGCCCATCGCTTTGATCTCGTTGATGCTATGGCTTGAGAAAAGTGTATCAGCATTAGGCAATAGATAATGCATCATGTTCTGAAGCAAGTCTTCTCCACCAATGGCACTTCCTGCCAGTGCTCTTATCTGGGAAACCCCTCCTGCTGTGGCAGTCACCGCTACATCGGTATACCCAGCGCCCATGTTGAAGATGAGAGCAATCTTTTCACTCCCACTACCCATGTTATCGTGTGTGGTCTGTTGCTGCTGCTGCGCATATAGCAATGCCACAGCGGTCGGCTCAGGCATGAGTCTCAGGACATGAAGGCCAGCCATTGCACAAGCTCGTTCTATGCGAGTCAGTTGGAATCGGCCGAACGAAACAGGGATCGTCAGAACAACGTGCCTTATAGGCCGCTTAAGTTGGAGTTCAGCCATTGCTCTCAATTCAACCAAAAATATCGCCATAACTTCCTCAGGAGTAGTGGATCTCCAGGCATTGTTCACCAAGGCTGCAATGAAAGGACGGACACCAATATCCAATGTCTGCACCAGAAAGGGAAGGCTTTTACACGCGTGAACGACGGGATCGGTGTCAACTCTGCCTACTAAGCGCTTCATGTTGAAGATGGCAGCTCCAGATAGCATTTCGTGCTCGTTGGAGAGCTGGTTGCTGACCCCCCCTGAAGGGATGTCATCTTTGTATGTGACATATGACCTCATCATCTTCTGGTTTCTTGTGTTTTTGAGGAGCTCAACTTGGGAGCCATTCCAGACTGCAACACTGCACTGCGAAGTGCCAATATCGATCCCGATAGCGATCTCCGGTAAAGTCGATGAAGATTTTTCCTCCCCAGTGTTCTCACTATCAGATGCCACAGTGTATGCTTGTTCAGCCATTCCTGTGTATAAATGACAAAATAAATAATTGAAAAAAAATACAGCAGTCTACAAACAAAATCGCAGATATATATCACACAACAAACTCAACAGTTAACATCATGTGACGATATATTCATTTTTATTTTAAAAACTTTCATTACTGTTGTTACGGAGAAAATCAAACTTGGAAAACGACTCTGATACAATGCCTTTAGTACTCAAGGCGTTTTCACAGAGGTCTTTCAACAAACAGCTCTAAGGTGAAATTTATTGCACGTCAAAATACTCGAAGCTTCATATTCGAAACAAATTTTCAAGAAACTGCTCGAGTTTTAACAAAAAACGGCTCTACGCGGCCGTATCGATTGGTTTAAGGGTCTGAAAGAGAATGTTGTTGGAGGGGGATGATACCCATTGGTACCGTATTCAAAGGATTAGTGAACCGTTCATAATAACATTCATTTGAAAACCGAAAAGATCTCGAGTCCGAAATGAGAGATATATTTTTTTTTCCACCGTAAGAATTATTTGATTTTTGTATTTCTTCCATTATACATGATACATCATAACACTTATTTTTAGGATAATGATTCTTAAGAGCAGATTCATCCCCCTTTTTCTATTTGTGTCTTCATTGCAGCGTTTGAACAAAACGGACGTTATTTTCTCGTGCAAAATATGTGTGTGTATTATATATATGTGTGTGTGTGTGTCTATATATATATATATATATATATATGAGAAAAATAAAAATTGCCTATTCAATAAAGTCAGTTTAGTTTTATGTTTTGTCCATGAAGATTACCACATATATATCTGAAAATGCAAAATAGACAATATCATTTCTTTAAAAAAAAAAATAAATAAATAAAAACTAGGCGAACAACAATATATGGAAACAGAGGAAACCCATTTGGCCATTTCTACAAACGTTTAGTTGAAATGTTTATTTGTTCCAACGTATACAATTATTTGAAGCTATGGAAAATTTGTAGCAGAAAAATTAGGAAAGTGGAAAGGAAAATGAATACTTACTGTTTGAAAGACAGAAAACAGAGCAAAGAGCAGTTAAAAGATGTTGAAGAAGATGATCAAATGAGCAAAGAACAGAACGCAGAATCTGCAGAGTCCGCTAAAGTTAGAGATAAACGAGGTTTAGAGGATCATTATAATAGAAAAGTTGGGTTTAACTTCTAGAGCTTCCTAGAGTTCGTGAGACACCAGAAGAAACAGTCGGTTTCTAGAATGTCTAGAATGTGCACACTCACGACCTGGAGAGCAATTTGTTAGATTAATTATCTAACAAAATGAAATTGATAAAATTACTTATTTCATTTTTATGAAAAATGACTACTCAGTTATTTTTTTTATAAAATATGGTCGTTTTTGTAGTCATTTTATGGATATATATATATATATATATTTTTTTTTTTTTAAAAGTTATTTTATTAATAAAATTTTGTTATTGAGTCATTTTTATAAAAATTTTATGATAAGATGTACTTAAAAATAATAAAAAAATATAAAAACTACAGTATTATCAAATCAGTAAAAAAAAACACCATTGTAAAATATGATGTAATATTTAAATTTAAAGTTTTATCTTTCCTCTTGAGCGACGAAGAGTGTAAATGTGAATGAATGATTTTTTTTTTATTGTCACATTTTCTTGAAATTATTACAAAAAATAAATATTATGCATATTATTTTTATGTATTATGATGTAGGACAATGTTTATCTATAACAATTTTAAAAGGACATTTGTTTAAAAGAACATTTGTTTATCTTCGATTATGTTACTGAGAGTGAAACTTTACCAATATCATGCTAATAGAAAAAAAAAGGCCCCGTTCACTTCGCTGATTCGAGTTTAAAATTCGAGTTGAGATGTGACTTTATGTGAGAGCTTTTTACTGTAGCAAAAAAGTTAGATGTGATTGTCATGTTCTTAGATTTGAGAGTTTGGTTCGTAGAATCAGAAAAAATAAATAAAGTTTATTATTTTTTTAATAAACTGTATATTTGGTATATATTTTTTATTTTAATGTAATTTAGATTAGATTTAATAGTCAGAATTTTAATAAATAATTAATCATCTAGCAGACCTCCTTGTCAGTATGACTTGATTTCTACACGTCGGATCTTATAAAAAATAACATTAGATTGAAACATATGTAGAACATATAATTTTTTATTTAAATTTAACGGTTAAAAAATAATAAATTATGAATACTTTATTTTTTTCTGGTCTTAGAAGAAAAACTTCTTTTTTAAGATTTTCCAAACAACATTGGAATAAAACCATGCGGTGATATGTTATTTAGTATGATAAATTCAAACACACTAAGGTCTGTTCCTTTTACCGATTCGAGTTTTCAATTTTAATTTTGTTATAGTTAAAAGCTCTCCTAAAAAGTTATATCTAACTTTTTTTATTACAGTTAAAAATTCTCATATAATTTTACATTTCAATTCAAATTGAAAACTCAAATCAACGAATTAAATGAGACTTAAATTTCTACCGACAAGAAATTTTAAAAAATTATTCGGTGCATTTTGCAATTGCAAGAAGGGTCCAGACCTATAAGAGGAATCATAGAACAACGTGGCCTCCAGAGGAAACCCGAGAAGGTTAACTAATAAAAATTGGAAGGGCATTTTAGACATATAACGAAATTTAATTAACCTTGTTGAAATACAGCAAAAATATTTTAAACATTTCACAAATAGTACAGCTTTTTTGATAGTACAACTTTATATCATTAAAAATAATTATTATCTTATCTTTGTTGATATACATGAAGCACGTTAAAATCCTTGTTATATTATTTTTGTTATTTTTAAAATATTTTCAAAACTATTATAAAATTGGTACAGTGTAATTATTACAAAGTACTAGTGCCGTACTAGTGCCCTGGGCCACTGCCACCGTTGTTATAGAATCAAAATTTTAAGGTTTTTTCTTTTTTTTAACTATTAGTTAAATGATTAATTATTTTTAAAAAGACATTATACACTTGTTAAATATAACTAGTAATAAGAAGTTAATTATTTTATTTTTTAAAACCGTAATAAATATAAATATATTTTTTAAATTTAATAAGATTATTTATATTTAAATTTAATAAATATTAAAATAATTTATATTAAGTAAAATATGAAGTATGATTAAAGTGAATCACTTATAAATTGCTAGTTAAAATAATTTTCTAACTGTTTTAGATAAGATTTAACTAAAATTTAGAGTGTTCTCTTAGAGATAAGAGCGTAAATGACATTTTATGGTTCTTTGTACCAATCTAAGACAAATTGGACTGATATTTAAGAGCCCATCTCATCTTAGACAATCACAAAAGACTCGTTTAATTTATAGATTAAAAATAAATTATTTAGACAAAAAGTTTAAAAAATAATTACATAAAATGCCTATTTTAGAAGGTTTGAATCTAAAAATAACTACTTATATATAATACTACAAAAATATCTTCTTCTAAATAACGCAGATCTAATACCGAATATACCCTTCCTTATTCTTTATTTTAGGCATGTTCTTATACGGTGAATTTTTGTATTTTGTGGGATGAATTTTCCTAATAATATATTGTATATTGACTTCCGTTTTTAATCCCAATTAATATTTCGTAATAAGTTTTTATTCGTGGTTCTTCATTAAGAGCATTTGGTTTCCAGATAAGTTGCACATTTTTTGGCTTTTTTTTTTTCAGAAAAAAAAAAGCTTTTGAAAGGACCACTGATGGCATTAGATATTTTTGTATGCTTGATTTTCAACTTTGTCTGTGGTTCTTCACTGATGGCAGTTGGTATATATGTTAGTACGTTGCTCCCGTTGTTTTGTTTTGTTTTGTTTTTGTTTTGTTTTTGTTTTTTTTTTGTTTTTTTTTTTCAATTCGTTTACATGTTTCTATGCAATTTTGGTATTCTGGAAAGTTTTTATTTTTTATTGTTTTTTATGATCACAAAAGTTCTATCTTTATGATAATACTAATATTCAAATTTTGTTGCACATATTTAACATCATTATTGTTATTGTTATTATTATATAACTTTATTCTTTATGATAACGCTAGTATTCACTTTTTTTTTTTTTGAAATGAATTGAAATGGTCACATTTTGGTGTCCTTATGTAACACTTTTCTTTTAATGATTGTTGATGGTTGTTTTTGTATCAAGCTCGTACAAGGGTTCATGTTTAATGATTCAGTCTCATGACGAGATTAAGCTCGATTCGTGGACTTAAGTCACGCTCAGAAAACTCACGTGGGCCGTGGTTTGATGGGCCATAAATAATCAAACGGGTCCATTTGTATCTTAATTTGATCTGATTTTAAGTCTCACTTGGGGGTTTTAAAATAATTGGACTAAAGAATGAACGAGTGATGGAGAATCAACCCCAAAAGCATTTGTTTGCCTTTTAGGAGTCTTATAAACCTTTTTCTCAGCCTTTGAAGACTCGAAAGTTCAGAATTTAAGTCACGGAACCTTTTCCTCCGGCGCTAGACGAGAAGATTTTCTATTCCGGAGTAGCTTCTTCTGGAGTTGGCAAGGATTCGTCTCTGTGACAGTTGTTGTTCCGAAGGTGTCACTGTGGATGCTCCCATGGAGGAATCACTGTGGACGCCCCCACGGAGGCATCTCCGCAGATGCCACCATGGAAATACTTCCCATGCTCTAAGAGACTCCTCTGTGACCGACGATACCTCCTATGAACCGAGAGACTCCCTTGTGTCTGAAGATTCTTCCCGTGCTCCATGGAGATTGAATGTGTTAGGTGCTCCAACGATGACTGTTTAGCTAAAATCAGAAGGCGACGCTCTGAAGTTGGAATGATGTGTGTTCAGACCTCCGAGAATAGAAGCGTCCACGGAGCACTAGATTTATTCAAACACTCCATGATCTCCAGACTTGGGAAAGATCCAATGTCAACAAGAATTCGAGATTTAGTCTCCAAATACAACCATTTTGGACAATTTGTTTGTCAAAGAGAAAAGTCACCTGATGTAGGTGCTCCAGAGGGAAATGGTTCGTACATGCCTCTGACAAGGCGTGACTGTATGGCTCCAGAGCAACCACCCAAGACTCCCAAACCTTCTCTTATAAATATCCCTCAGCTTCTTCATTTCAGGGGACACATTACACTTCTAAGACCCTTTTTGACACACATTCTTTATGAGAGATTACAATTTGAGTTCATTCCTCTGAGAGTTGTTCTCAAAACACCTCGTTTGATCTATCCAAACTCGCCAACAAGCTACATTTGAAGTTTCTGAGGTTTCTCCGGAAGTCTGAAAATCCGCCTCTGTAGCTAGACTCCTCTTCAAACTTGTGCTCTTTGGGTTTGAAGTCCTTCATAGAAATTTCACTCAAAAAGTCTCGAAACACTTCGTTTGATATATCCAAACTTGCCAACAAGCTACATTTGAAGTTTTTGAAGTTTCTCCGGAGGTCTGAAATTTTGCCTCCGTGACTAGACTCCGCCGTCCTACAGCACACTTTCAGAAAACCATAAACTGGAAAACCATAAACTTCATCTGATGAGACATATTCTCAGAGACAGCCTATATTTGTTCTCTAAGCACTCCTCTAAAACGGCCTTATCCGCACTTTGCGAGTCAGACAGTTGCTCCGGAGGCAACCTGTGCTTGTCCTCGGAGCATTCTTCCTCTGAAATAGCCTTATCCATACTCTTTGAATCAAATCTCCATTAATCGTTCGGTTACTCCTCCCACCATACTTTGTCGATGCGATCTCCATGACTGAGTTCAATATTCTCCCATGCGCATAGTCGAGAGTGCCTCAGCAACTTGGCGGCAAAGTGGGTCCTATAATCTGATTTCTTCGGCTTACTTTAAGCCTAACTGATCCTCTTTTTTTCGTTGGAAGTCCTATCGTACAATCTTCTCCGTAAATGCTGTGTTTTTGTCTGCATCAGCATTGATATCACTGAATCCGATACTTGCACGTGTATATCACGTACACGTCGTACCCATCAAATCTATCAGGCCCTAACATAAAGGCGACTCTACTAGAGAGATTAGGCCGCTGTTCTACAATGACACCTCGGAACAAAAGAACTCGTCTCGCCCATGAAGGAACTTCTCAAGCGATGGAGGAGTCCGTTTCGCACAACGGAACTCTCAACACTGACACCATGAGGAAAGAGAGCAGCCCACAGAGATTCCTACTTTCTGGATTCAATCAGCT